CAGCTATTTAAAAATCCAAGCACACCCAAAAAATGTTTTGTTTTTTTTTTTTAATTAATTATAAAGGGCAAAACCAGGAAAAAACCCAAATATTAATAAAAGACGCCAGTCTTGAAAAGGGCAAGAGAAAGATTAATACATGTGTGTTCTATTGTATATGCAGAACCACTTTAAATGAAGCTGTGTGCAGAGTCAGACAAAATGGAATATCCATTCTTACAAACTGTTCTCAGTAAATCTATCCAATCTATTTATTTATCCTCAGATCATGCACATTTAGATTAGAGTTCTGTCAGCTGAGTTAATAATTCTTATCTGAAAGTAATTACATTGGTCCATAAGTTTTCACCACTGTGTTGTTCCAGATCATAACAAACTGTGTGATGTCTCATCACATTAGCATAAAATGCATTGTAGTGGTGCACAGCATGATGCAGCAGCAGATTAAAAATGATGCAGCATTCCTAATGGTAGTGAACTAGTGTCACTGGTATTTGGAAACTTGTGCGTACTGCAGTTTGATCACTCTCTGGAGGATCTGGCTTTTATCCTTTTCTTTACATTTAAAGGGCTTGGACTGGATGTTAACTTTATGAACCAGATCTGGTGCTCAAAGGAGCACTGTGAGAACCCGAAAAGACTTCAAACCTAGCTTTTGGTTACAAAAATGTGTCAGTTCTGAATTTATTGACCATCTGTCAGACTTCACTCACTACTTGGTAGCTGTCACTGTTTGTTATTTGTTGCACTTCTATAATGACTCACTGCAGGGAGCTACCAATATCTCCATCACAGTGATTAATGAGGTCACTTTCTATCCGCAAGCACCTCATCCCATAATTATTTCTAGTAGCTATCAGCTAGTATGCCAGATCAGATAAAAATAATGTGTTTATATATAATATTTGCCCCTAATAATAATGTTCACCTGTTGTGAAGATATTTGGCTGATTGTTTTCAATTTGTATTTTTCTTTAATTGCATTTGAGATGTCTTTTCAGCTAAGCCAAGTCAAAATCGTCTCATGATCAATAAAATCAGTTGTCACAACTGAGCTCCCATACTCTGTCCTGAAATGCCTACTGTACTCTGTATTCATATTTGATGCGCGAATATTAATTTTGTGCCTAAGATACTTTGTAGATAAATAAAATTTTAAAATTTTCTCAATACTGTTACTGCTACTGTTGTTGTTTTTAGACAGTGGTGCTTGCCTTAATCATAGAATCAAACACTCGTAGAATGGTTTGGATTGAAAGGAACCTTAAAGATCATCTGGTTCCATACCCCCTGCTGTGGGCAGGGACACTTTCTACTAGATGCTCAAAGCACTATCATCACACCTGCCCTTGAACATAATCCATAATGAGGATCTAGCAAGCAAGCACAGAGGTAGATTTCCCTTCCTTGAAAAACCTGTAAAATTTTCCTAATTATTTTTATTTTTGATTTTTTAAATAGTAGTTATGTCTATGAAGATATAATTCCCTTCCTAAGGAATTTAAAATCAGAAGAGACAAGCTTGATTGTGATAGGGACCAAAAAAGAGGTTAAAATATTTCATCAGAATTAGAGAATCGTATCATTCAAGTATCACAGAAAGGGCAACATTAGGGCTTATCTCCAACATATTACTTGGGACTGTGTAACATGTCTCTTCTGAACTGAGTGATTTACTTTGGGTATTTTCTGTAGAAGCTAAGATATAAAATGGTCCAGACTCAGAAAACAGAAGCAGCAGTGGGACTTCCTGTTTTCCCTACCAAATGCACTTTTCAAGTGGTGACACAGCAAAGGTTACTTACCCAATATAAGGGAACTGTCAGGTTCAACTTCTTTCTATTCCAGAGTGATTTAGCATTTTTAGAATGACAAAAAGAACTTGTAAGGTATGTCAGATCTTCTTTTTATCACTTTAGTTTTGTGTAAAATATTGGAAAATTTTGAGAAAACTGCAAATAATTTTGGCTGCCTTAAATTCCACACTTTGTGGGCTCACCCAAGATTTGACAACTTGCACTCTTATTTGGACCACCAAGTCTATATTTTGTATTTGTAAAATAATTTCTGAGGATGATTATACCAACATTTGTGATGTACTAAAACATCACAATGACATAGACTATGTACATAAAAGGAGGCAACGATAATCTTAACAATCAACGATAAGCTTTTGTGTCAATCTGACAGTTTTTCATGAGTATTCCGTTCATTCATTAGTTAGTGGAAAATGTTATCAAAGTTAAAGCAATAGAAAAAAAATATGTTTTGCCAGAAAAGTTTTTTTTTTAGTTTTTAACAATAAATTTGCTCTTTGGACTGTTAAAAATCTGTTTAACTCCTAATAAAACTGTTTCCTTTTATGATGGCCATTATCTTCTGCTCTAATGCAATCTATATACCAGAATACCTTGTTGGAACTATTATTTTTTGTTAGACTAATTAGCTTTTCTATTAAGATATGGTAAAAAAATTCCTTTCTTTTCTCAAGTCCAGTCACAGGTGCACACTGAAACCCAGGTCATTTTACCGAGGTTGTAATTTCTCTTCTCACTACCAGCTCTAACAGTTTGCCCTTTTTGCAGTGAAAAACCTTTACTGCACTAAATAAAGCACAGAGGAGCACAGAGAGGCCTACTGAGAAATCACTGGTGAAACACAGGATACAGCAAGATTTCTGGGCAGAACTGAAAAAAAGGAGCAGAGATGTTTGCCTACAGACAATTCAGAGATGAACATGGACAAAGCTGGAGAAATAGCACACTTCTGATGTGTGGAAGGATGTTAGGGCTAGGAAAAAGGTTAGAGTTAGCACCAGAAACCTTTTTCAGGGCTCAATTTTGCAGAAAAGGAGAGCTAAGGCAACAGTCTTGTGTGCCAATTAAGTGCTGAAGAGCAAGGGATGGAGATACCAAAAGGTATGGGAAATTTGTTCAGGTGGTAAGAAGCTGAGGGAGTACTGGCAACCAGCAAGCCTAACGTGTGGACGTGATGATCATCTTGGAAAGCATCTGGGTAAGTCCTGCTCAAATGTCTCCAAAGAAAGGTCTGAGAGGTAAGTTAAATCAAATGTAAGTATAGTTGGTCAAAGAGTTAAATATATCATTTGTGTAATGTCTTACCTGGGACTTCTTAAAACTGAAACATCATGGGACAAACAGATTTTATGTTGTTTGTTATATCGTATGTTTATTTTGAAGGACATATTTTTGTACTCCTAAGGGAAATGCCTTATACAAAAGTAGCTACAAGGCTGAAAAGAGTTATGGGGATGTTCTGGAAGTGCTCTTGAAAAAAAAAAGAAGATACATGAAAAAAAATGCATGTGAGGATGTGTTGAGCTGAGAACTGTACCTGTGCATATCCAGAACATACAAAAATCACCAGTTTGTTGACAGTTGTCCTGGTTTCCGCTGTGGGTACTTAGTTGCTGGTGGGGGTTAAACCACAACACGATTGATTGCCAGGACCCACTATTTTAAGGTGAGTACTTCATGGTTGCTTCTATATCTTGATGGAAAAACGGTGAAAATTTTCTTTTTTTCCTCAGCATTTGAGGGGTAACTTTGAAAAACGGAAGGGAGAGAGATGTTCTCTCTCTCTTCTTTCTCTGAAATGCCAGTTTGGAAGAGAAAGGTGAATAGCTTCCAGAGGAAAAGCTAAAAAAGAAGAAAGAGAGAAAACAGAGGTATGTATTTCACTGCTCAGATGGGGAAAAGATGGCGACTTTGATGAATACTGGTGATGCAGGAACAGAATAAATATGAGGAGGCTGGGGAAGATATAGTCTTGTAGTTCCTTTCAGTTAGTGGCTTGGGTGATGCTTTAAAATATGATGCAATGAATCAGAGATTGTTCAGTGAATGTTTAACTCTCTTTAACATATAAAGAGAATGCACAGTGCTGTGGCTTCCATATGGTCTGAAGACGGCCCAGGGTTGTTTTGAGAAACCTACTCAGGAAAACTCATACAATATAGCCTCAAGAAAACTTTATTAACTGGGAGGGGGCAGCAGATTTAACTACACTTTTTTGATCCTTACAGATGGTAATAGTGTACTTTGAACAAAAATATCCCTGAACAGCTCTATCAGACTGTAAATTTTGAACTTAATGAAAAAAATTCTATAAGATAACATATGTAATACTGAATCAAACACAAAGGCAAATTCCAATCTCAAAAGATACTCCTTTTCTTAGTTCTTTCTATTTCACAGTCTATTTGCTAGTTAAAAGCCATTTATTTAGCTTAATAATACCATAGAATTGGATTTTTGTTGTAAGGAATAGAGAAGTTCTTGTTTCATCAAAAGCTTTACTGTTTAGAGCTGTAAGAAACTTGTACAATCTCTTCCTTTACATTACCTATTCTGTTTATTTTCATTTCAGTTTGGTATTGTTTTCCACCATACAGCTTTGTCTCATGAAGATTGTCGAATTTGTCAGTATGCCTTATTTGTTTGAAACTTTTCAAGCATAAGGGTTATTTTTCTACTAGCAGTTCTAAAAATATATCCTTAGAAGATATGACTTGTATAATATATAACCTAGGCTGCAAGAAGGGACATGACTGAGTAACAGAAAACAAACTAAATAAAACTAACATTTCCTTCTTGTGCACAAATCAGCTGGGAGTTCTTCCTTTAGACAAGTTTTGAATTTGTGTAGATCCAGTTATTCATTATGACAGGTTGTAATTAGTCAGCATGCCGCTTACAATTGCTAAAGAGTCTCCTACTTGCTGGAATATAGAAAATGTTTTGAATGAAAGGAAGCCATAGAACCTTTGACTGACCTAACCTACTCTTCTGTCTGGAGGTATTAATGGATTCAGTGTTTATGTGAGCAACTGATTTCAAGAAAAATGCTGTAAACCACAGTTTTGCTCTGACTGTCTATTTCATTGGGTTAGAGATGTCATTTATTGTGGTCTAATTTTATAAGATTGTTTGAGGTAGCACTGTTTTTTATTATTAAGTACTTCTGCAATTTCTAGAACAAGGGGAGCCTGAAATGGGGACTTGTAACTCTGCTATTACACACATCATGACAACAGTTAACAGCCTTTTGTCTCTGAGGCATTAAGACTACAAACTGAGCTGCGTTAATGGCTAATTAGTATTTTCAGCATCTTCCCAGTGCACAAGTCAAGTAAAAGGTAATTTTCCTGGCTTTTTTATTTATTGCCCCCAAAGATGAACATTGTGTTATATTAAATTTCTTAATATTTTTTTCAGGAAAAAAATGTAAAATTTTATTTTAAAATTTCAGAACAAATCACATTTAACTTGAGGAATTTCCAGCTATGGAAACTTCTGATATATTTTCTCTGTATTGTGGAGAATCTGTTGTTATGAAAAATGATGTGAAGTTCCCGACAACTGGAAAAAGGGAAATATAACCCCCATTTTCAAGAAGGGGAAAATGGATGACCCAGGCAATTACAGACCAGTCAGTCTCACCTCTGTGCCTGGCAAAATCTTGGAGCAGATTCTCCTGGAAGGCATGCTAAGGCACATGAAAAACAACAAGGTGCTTGGTGACAGCCAGCACGGCTTCACTAAGGGGAAATCCTGCCTGACCAATCTGGTGGCTTTTTATGATGGGGCTACAGAACTGATGGACAGGGGTGGAGCAGTTGATGTCATCTACCTGGACTTGTGAAAAGCGTTTGACACTGTCCCGCACAACATCTTTGTCTCTAAATTGGAGAGACATCAATTTGATGAATGGACCACTTGGTGGATAAAGAACTGGCTGGATGGCCACACACAAAGAGTTGTGGTCAATGGCTCAATGTCCAGTTGGAGACCAGTAACAAGTGGTGTCCCTCAGGGATTGGTGGTGGGACCGGTCTTGTTTAACATATTCATCACTGACATGGACAGTGGTACTGAATGCGCTCTCAGCAAGTTTGCCGATGACACCAAGCTGTGTGGTTCGGTTGATACACTGGAGGGAAGGAATGCCATCCAGAGGGACCTTGACACGCTTGTGAGGTGGGCTGATGTTTAAACTCATGAAGTTTAACCATGCCAAGTACAAGTTCCTACACCTGGGTCGGAGCAATCCCAGGCACAGCTACAGGCTGGGCAGAGAAGAGATTCAGAGCATCCCTGCGGAGAAGGACTTGGGGGTGATGGTGGATAAGAAAATGAACATGAACCTGCAGTGTGCGCTTGCAGCCCAGAAAGCCAACTGTATCCTGGGCTGCATCAAAAGGAGCATGACCAGCAGGTCGAAGGAGGTGATCCTGCCCCTCTACTCTGCTCTCGTGAGACCTCACTTGGAGTACTGTGTGCAGTTCTGGTGTCCTCAACATCAAAAGGACATGGAACTGTTGGAACAAGTCCAGAGGAGGGCCACGAGGATGATCAGGGGGCTGGAGCACTTCCCATATGAAGATAGGCTGAGAAAGTTGGTGTTGTTCAGCCTGGAGAAGAGAAGGCTGCGTGGAGACCTAATAGCAGCCTTCCAGTATCTGAAGGGGGGCCTATAGGGATGATGGGGAGGGACTCTTCATTAGGGACTGTAGTGATAGGATGAGGGGTAATGGGTTAAAATGTAAACAGGGTAAGTTTAGATTGTATATAAGGAAGAAATTCTTTTCTGTTAGGGTGGTGAGGCACTGGAATAGGTTGCCCAGGGAGCCTGTGAATGCTCCATCCCTGGCAGTGTTCAAGGCCAGTCTGGACGAGGCCTTGGGTGATATGGTTTAGAGTGAGGTGTCCCTGCCCATGGGAGGGGGGTTGGAACTTGATGATCTTAAGGTCCTTTTCAACCCTATCTATTCTATGATTCTATAGACGTTGTATATAATATTGTTCATAGACAGAAAAAGAGGGAGACATTCCATTACCTATACCTAGTCATTATGTTGTCCATGTGATTTTAAACACCTAGTTTTCCCATAAACGGTCTGAATTTCAGCAGGCTAGCTAACTTTTGAGGTTTGGGGTATTTATTTTCATATTCACTTTGATCTGCAAATTTTTTCTCAAAACTATGATGCTCACGTAAGAAGGCAATACAGTGTTTAAAGATCAACTTCAGATTGAAGGTTTCTCAACAATAATGAAAATGCACTTAAGAGAAGTAAAGAGTTTATTTAAGTTGATGGATAATTCTTGCTGACTGGTCAGAAAACTTCTGGAGGACAACAATATTTTGGCTGAGGTTTCCAGGAAAAATAATAGCCCACTTTTGCTTTCTGTATTCCAGATAAACTCATCTATGTTTTGCAAGCAAAAGGCTAACATAATAATTTTACATTTAAGCACCAATTTCTACTTACCTTTGAACTCCTTTCACAAGAAATTTGAACTCTCTCCAGGCTGCAGATCTGCTGTCATCTGGAAAGAGCAACAGCATTTTGTTTCCCATTCCTTTCCTACATGCCTTTTAAATCATGCATAAAGTGGTCTGTCTTTTCCTATCTTGCTATCACTTCCCCTCAAATAAATAGATACTGTAGTAAAAGCGGGCCTTTTAAAAACATTCAGTGCCATATTAAGTAGCAGTGGACACAAACTCTCATTCTTAATATTTATATGAGCCTCCACTTTTGATTTTGTTATTATATGCTTTTTCTTTTTTCCTGTGTTCCATGAGTTATTCTTTTCCTGGTCTGGGGAAGCAATCCGTAACTAGAATTTAAATTCACAACATCATTCTGATGTGTCCATCCATAGCACAGATTTGAAAAGCACATGAGATACCACACATGATATAGCTCTCATCCTGCTGGTCAAGATACTTTGTGAAAAACTGGGAACATCAAGAGTTGGGCTTGTTCACCCTGGAGAGGAGAAGGCTTTGGGGAGACCTTGTAGCAACCTTCCAGTACCACCAGAAGCCTAAAAGAAAGCTGGAGAGGGACTTTTTACAAAGTAATGTAGTGACAAGGGGTAGTGGCTTTAAACTGACAGAAGGAAGATTTAGATTACATGTAACGAAGAAGTTCTTTACTGGAAGAATTGAGACACCAGAACAGGTTGCCCAGAGAAGCTGCGGCTGCCCCATTTCTGGAAGAGTTGAAAGCCAGGCTGGATTGGGCTTTGAGCAACCTGGTCCAGTGGAAGGTGTCACTACCCATGGCAGGAGGGTTGGAACCAGATGATCTTTAAGGTTCCTTCCAATCCAAGCCACTCCATGATTGTATGATTCTATGACAGTTTGAACTGCCTGATGCTGAGCAAGATAATGAGCTTGTATTTCCCATCTACTACACTGTCCAATCTACTAGGCTGTAACAGCATATGTAGATAAAACTTGATCTCCCTCTCTAAATAAAATTGGAAACATTTAATGAGCTGTCTGTTTCTCCAGATGTTTGTGTGTTCTGGGAATACGGATTGGGATGTGTCTCCTATAGGAATGAAGCATATGTAATAGGACTGAGACAAGAAATTCCAGTAAGGGGAGGTTCTGAGATGAACAGAAGCAAAAGTAGCAGAATAGGGGTTTTGGACTGAAATCTTGATCGTTTCTGCAGTCTTGCTTATGTTCAGCTTTGTGATATTCCCTCTCATCTTTTTCTCTTCCAAATCCATTGAGATAATAATGATTTACTGCTGCTCTGCCTCATAAAGATTCACTAAGAGCCTGATCCAGGAAGTCAGTAGGATTTTCAGCACAATGAATCAGTATAACCTAGGTTACATAAAACGAGCAGACACAAAGCGCATTTCAGGACATGGTATGGTCTTGTACTGTTCCTTGTGATGGAACATGGAATTCCCCTGAAGAAAGCAACTACAGCTTTGTTTTGACATTGTAGGGCAGAAACGTTTCACCTGGAAACTCATTTCTCTGTATGTTTCCTGTTGAGTCTCTGTGACTATTGGTATTTGGAAGATCCGTATAAGGCCACATCCTTGGCAAATTTATTAGTTTTAAAACTGTAACAACTACATCTATGAATTTGTCTGCTTTTTAAATGTCTTTGCAACTACCACCCATTACAAAACTTGCAGATTCTTAGGTGCTAATTTCTCAGGTGTGTCATTCTGTATAACTGTAACCCAAAAAGACATGGAAAGGAAGAAGAAAGAGACCACTCAGGACAGTATAAGGACAGAGAATCAGTCAGAACTCACAGAATCAGGAGCAGATGTAGCCCAATTAAACTCAACAATTCACAGGTGTTCACAGGAATGACTTTAACATAAAAGCACACTTCTCTTCAGTGTTCCTTACTTTTATTTTTCCTAGTGCTCTTTTCATTTTATATACTCCACCAGACTAAACTAAAAAAAAAAAAAGGTAATTGGAGATTAGTTGGATATAACTGACTTAAAATTCAGCATGTTAATGGTTTGTTTGTTTTTGGAATCATGGTGAGCCATACTTACTGAGGGAATGAGTGTTAAAAGATGCCATGTAATTTGCTCATTTCATTTGGTTTTAAACTCCTGGCAAAAGGCAACCACAGTTAAAACTGATAGACAAGATCTGCAGGTTGTTATAAAATGCTGGAACTCTAGTCCTAATTTGCTTCAATGTGTATAATTCTTTCTTAGCAGCAGGTGATGGAATTTGTCATTGTCTTGCTAACAGGACATGGTGCTATCAGTTAGAAACACAGAACATATGCTATTCATTCTTTTCAAGCTGGTGCTTTCCTGACTGCTGCTTTAGGAGTTTATTGAGAGGAGTGGACAGAGTGACAATGCACACATTTTTCATGAGTATCTGTTGTTATGGTATTAACATTAAATCCTTTGACTTCCATTCACAGTGAAGAATGGAAGTTTTCTTTTGCCCAGGAGCTGTGACATGAGGAAGATAGAATTCCACCAGTTTTCTTATATTATAGTAGGATTATATTTTTTTCTGAAAATAATATATCACAGGATTTGCCTTAGCATAGTTGCTAAAATGATGGGTGCTTTCTTTTTTTGGCAAGTTAGACCTTATTAAAGTTCTTACTCGCATTCAGGGTGAAACTAAACCTGCAGTTAAAAAAACAGGCTGAAAGGTATGCATGACATTGCCACCTTGAGCTACCTTTATAATGCAAACCTTACATTATTTGTCTTTATTTAACCTGCTCTTCAATGCTATTTTTCTTATGCCAGTGCACACTCTAGTTCTTAAGCAAATAATTCTGCCTGTCTTAATTTGATGAAATCTTCAGGATCAAACCTGATAGCCTTT